GGCATCTTATAAATTAACTTGCTGTCTATCGTCAGATCTTTTCATACCACTCCACAATGTCTTATCTCATTTATTTTCTGACAACGTCTTTACTTGATCCTCATTTTACTCCATTAAACTTAACATCTTATAGCTCTTCATTACTTATTATACTCCTACTCTCTGAAGGGTACGGTAGTGCACTAAATGCACAAAAAGGTATAAAATAAAAACAACTGGCATGAGGATAATTGTATTAAAACCAAAAGTTGATATCATGATAGTTTGTGATATATCTGTAGCATTATACATTGCAAATGAATGTTGTTACCCTAGGGTGTTTCCTTTATTAATGCATTTATTAATGATACTTGCACTTACCTATTTCATTACAATTTAATGATTCACCTCAGCACTTTAATTTTTCTAAAACAGATTCCAATCCCTTGTAAAAGGTGTACTTACCTCAATATCGGTTGGTTATCGTATGCCTACAACCACGGGATGAAAACGGAACGAAGTCGATTTTCCCGCTCAACCTGGAGGACAACTGTACAATTCAATAACTATACGGCCTAATTCAGAAAATGAGTGTATTATATGTATCGAATATTTAACAGTTGAAATACGATTAACTTGTAGACAATCTACGATTTGATATTATATCATACTTGATCGTGCCTGTAAAAATGGCATGCATTTTCATGTAAATTTGTAAATTTATATGAAATACATTATTATTATTATTATTATTATTATGAATTTTTTAGAAAATTATATGAAAATGGGTAAGTGTTGACTGAAGATAGTCATTTCAACTCAAAAATTAGTACTACTAATATTATTAATATATTTGTAGCAGACGCCTTGGAAATTGTGTTTAAGAAGTATGAAGTATAGAAGTAGCTAGTATTACAGCAACTAAGTTGAAGTCTATTTAGCAGAGTAAAAAGTGTAGTGGAACAATTAGTGATAAAATTATGTATAATGATCCTGAAGAAAACAGCCGGTAAACAGAGCTAGCTATGCTAAATTGTTCATGACCGATTTTCATACGGTGCGCATTAGATATTGCAAAGTAACCCGTCAACTTATATAATGTTAAAAATACTGCGAAATATTATAAAGGTTATACGTTTTAGGAAGGTGTATGGGAAAAGGTGGTTATTGGCTGAGTAAAGTCATTCAGACAACAAATAATAGCATTGCATTATTAACTGTATATACATATGTAAAATATTAAAAGGTGTGGATGCTAATATAGTCGTTTCTAGAAGAACTGATATTAACATAACTTATTGAATTCTATACAGAAGGGAAAATCAGTAAATTAGTTAAACGTTCGCTGCATGAGTAGTAGAGTCGAGTTATATGTAACTAACTGAGCTGAAGACTGGACCGGCTTTTACTTACCATTTTACCAACATTTGTGGTCTTTTAGACAAGCTAGGGTGGACATGTTAATGTGTCTCTCTAGGCTCCGTTTGAACCCATTGGGGTTTTCACAACATCTAATTTCAGATGGTAGTTGGTTCCAAAGAGTGCAATATTTAATGGTGAAAAAGTTTGCCCTAATGGATTTTTGTAGGTAGCCACCTTGACAAGGTAGTTGTGGTTTCGCAGCTGATATTATTTAATATTTTCCCACGTTATGGATGAGTTACTATAACAGTGTTTTCTTATGACTTTGAATAGTAGAAATAAGTTGCACTTCACTCTCCTTAACCACAGAGGTTCTAAATTCAGTCGCATACACCTGTCAACATATTCCACTGGTTGGTCAAACCCTATTATGCGTTTCGTTAGGAATCTCTAAACACTTTCGATTTTTTTCGGTCTGCAGACCTTAGGTTACTATACAGGAGAGCACAATATTCAAGTTTGGGGCGGATACACGTTCTATATATAGCTAATCTTGCTTCTTGGGTGTAGAAGTTACGCTGAAAACATAGCCGAGCCATTGTCGGTAATCTTCAATATGTCTCTGGACCAGTCTAAATGTCCAGGAGACTGGAAAGATGCCATCATTAGTCCGGTCTTCAAAACCGGATCTAGAAACTAAGTTCAGAACTATCGTCCTGTTGGTTTGACCAGTATTGTTGTTCAACTGCTAGAAAGAATAATTCGTGATGCTATCATTCAGTTCATTGGAGGGAACAAACTTTTCGCTGTGGAACAGCATGGTTTTAGAGCAGGTAATTCTTGCTTGACCAACCCTCTTCTGGCCAGAGAAAGTTGGGCAAGCTCAGCTGATGCTAATATACCGGTGGATGCCATATTCATCGACCTTAGTAAGGCGTTTGACAGGGTTTCTCATTCAGGTCTTCTAGTAAGGTTAGGTAGTCTGGGAATCAATAAAGTGGTTGCCGACTGGAATCAAGACTTTCTAAAGGACAGAAGACAAAGAGTGCGAGTTAACGGGGTTTTATCAACATGGGAATCGGTTAAGAGTGGCGTTCCTCAGGGTACAATTTTAGGCCCACTTCTTTTCCTGATTTATGTTAATGAGATTCCATCGGTAGTTAAGTCATCCTGCCTACTGTTTGCTGATGACATCAAGATATGGAGGGCTTTACACGATGACAGTGGTCAACTTGCTTTACAGGAGATTAACTTAAGCAAGAGTGTAGTTATGCATGTACCTCATATTCACGTGCACAATTACTCAATGAATGGCATTACTCTCCCAGTGGTCACTGAGTACAAGGACTTGAGAGTGGTCACGCGGCATGACTTGAAAACAGCAACAAACTGTAGAGCTGCAGCCACTAAGGGTTTTCGAATATTATGGGCCATACGCAAGGCTTCTGCGAATTTTGACGCTGAAATATTTCGTATATTATATCCGACTTATATCAGACCTCATTTGGAATATGGGATCCAGGCAGCGAGCCCGTGTTTCAAATACGAAATAGACTTATTAGAAAGGGTGCAAAGAGTAGGAACTAAGCTAATAAAGGGTTTCTGAACCCTCTCATATGAAGAGAGGTTAAGTCGACTGGGTTTGTTTCCGCTGTCATACAGCCAACTTAGGGCTGATCTAATACTAGCATACCGTATCCTAAGAAATGATTTTGGAGCTAATTTATCTAATTTATTTCTTCCTTCTAGCACCAATCAATTGCGAGGACATCACCTCAAGGTTCAAAAACCACGGTCGAATCGTCTGCGTCTGGAGATCCGCTTTTCGCATCGAATTGTGAACCATTGGAACTCCCCACCGGAACACGTCATATCAGCGCCATCCGTTGATTCATTCAAGGCGAGATTGGACGAATCGAAAGGATTAACACAGGCATATAGCCTACTATCCCAAATAAATTGTAAACTGTAAACTGTACTGATCCACTACGGAGCACAGTTGGTTGGCAGATGTGGAAGGCGAGAAGCTGGAGAGGGAAGAAGTGTAGTCCTGATTTCGCGCGGAACTAGGGAGTGTCCTTGTTCAGTCTGATGTAACAACCATGATTTTCTGTGAATTCATTAATTTTACTATTTTATGGTGAACGTATAATTTGATATTTTCTGGCCACCACAGACCAATCTGTAGAGTTTCAGCAACTCCATGATGGTTCCCCCCTATGTTCACATAATCAGTGTGCCTTAGATAAGGATTTGTTCACCAGAGGTAAGATCAGTTTACCTGGTATGTATACATCCTCAGATATTTGTGAATGTGGCCGAGGGTATCCTCAGGAATAAACATCTCAATGTTTGCTTGAAAAGATCAGTTTCTCTGAACGGATCCGGGGCGGTGAAAACTGCAAAGACTGATTCAACACCACTACCAACTGAGACAGCATTTTGCCAACACACTGAAAGGACTATTTTCTCACCTTTTACACGTTTTTTATTAAAAAGGTTTTTAAAATGCATTTCTGCAGAAAAACTCCCCAAAACAACGTGGGATAGCCCGAACACAACAACACGATAACACTGGATATCTGCAGCAATCAGCTGATTTGTCCCTCTATCCTCCGCCTTTAGTTTGTAAACATTCATGAGTCAGACAGAATTAAAGCTAAATAAAAAAAGTATAGTTGTACCATTTAATATGACAAATCTTTAGTACTAAGGAATAATAGTAGTTTGCATCAAAAATAGAGAATTAGATGAACCACGGTACTGGAAAATATAAACCTCAAATTTCCCTAAGAGGCTAACCACAAAAGAAAGTAAGTTACATAGAAATAAACCACCATGTCCTAATCAAAACGGGATCAGAATTCAATCTCGAGGAATCGAGAACAAAATATGTGTTTCACAGACGGTCCTAGGTCAAACAGTCACTTTACAGTGCAGTTTTCAGTTTATTCATACAGAGTAGCCACAGCATAAAAAAACACTGCTGTTAAGAGTCCAGCATCACCCAGCCGGAAAAAATACTGAATTATGAGTCGAAATAGTACATGCAAGTGTCAGGGTGATGAGATGAAGGTCGGCAAAGTGGACAATAATTGCAGAAGTAGTTAAGATACTGATAGAGATATCAAAACTGCAAATAGACTGCTTCTTTCAGCGCAGATGTACAGTCTCCGTAATCTTTTCAAGGTTTGTATCTGTTTCATGAAGCAGCAGCAGTATTCGGGATTCAGCGTCATCTGCGGCAATGGCCACGTTGCCGTGGTCACGTGTAGTGAAACCGCAATCTATAGTGATTAGACACTAAATGATTCTTCATTCTCTCCTCCTGAGGAATGAGAATCTGAAACTAATTCTCTAACACAAGAGATGGGAAAACTGCAAAAATTCAACATCAATGAAAATAAGAAGGAACGACACATTTTGGATGCTCTGTTTCATCTCTTCAACTTCAATTTTGAGCACAGTACATTTGCCTGCCTCAGCTGGTGTTCTGTTTTCGCTATTCGTATGACTGTTAATCTGTATGTTGCAGCATACCATTGCGTAGAAATCTGTCTTTTTCAAGCAGCTGAAACATTTTTTCAGATATATTTTACAACTCCAACAACCTTAATTTTATGGATAAGTCACTGCTGAAATTTATGGCATTGAATATTGAAGGTTTTCATATGCGGTCTGACTGAAGGTAGCGGTGCGTAAGTAGATCCTATCAATGACTATCTCTCATAAGTGAATTTAGCGTCATTCCAAACAATTTATTCACTAATATTCCTAATGATAATATCTCTCGAGCAAGCGGGTAGCCTGTAAGACTTAGTTCACCACTTAGATTCGTCGATTTTAGATTATAATGTTTGATACTTCCTAGATAGAAAAATTTGGGGGTGATGTAACGGAGAAATTCTATGGAAATCCTGATCCACAGAAAGCCTCAAACCTCTCTCTGAAACCTCCAATTTTCTCTTAAACACCCTATCCTTATATTTGAACTTGTGATTCACTTGTGAATTTCCTCAGCTTACCATAATGCTGAATTAAACCTCACTAATTCTGAAATAATTGTAGTATTATATAGTGAGCAAATACTGAATCATTTGTGAAATGGTTTCGTTGATGGCACAGACTAGAACTCAATGCTGGTTTTCAGCATTACTTGCACTAATTTAGCGCCTCTTTCTCTTCTAGGCATTTTCAGGAGTAGAACAGAACCGTCTCGGTTCGCTTACCAGCGTTGTTCCAGCCCTCACAGAACATAATTAGCACTGAATAGCATTATTTAAGAACGAAAAACGTAATTCAACACATAGTGGCAATTTTTCGTCGTATTCTTATTTACTGTTACACCTGTGGTCAAATAGACCAGTCATATTATATGTAATCCCCAAACAAGTATGTCACCGTCACACTATGTATTCCGTGTGTAACCTACTCTTTGCGGATTGGTTGGTCTCAATAAACTATGTCCAGATAGAGTGCAATTTTTCAGTACTAACCGCAGCAGTTATGCATGCAGTGCTTATTTTCAGCACTAAAGGCACTATTTCAGATACTAATCTTATTTTTAAGATTTTGTAGCATTAGTTAAGCACCCAGCTCTCTTTATAAATACGACCAGCGTTATTTCAGAACATAGTGGGTAGATAAAATCTTCATTTACCATAAAAAGTCATTATTGAAGAGTAGGTTAGAAAAAGTTTAGAATTGCTGTAAGCTTGGGTTGTTACTCATTTGGAATGTTATCTACCATTTGTGGCTCCCTTGCATGAAAACATATGTTCTTTTAAGGTGCTCAGTTTTCCATGACGCCAATTCACACTAGAGCAGCACAGCTAAAATACTGTCCACAGATCGTAAGCGTCGGACGCACTACAAAATCGTTGGACTAAGGATTCTTGGAGATGCATTTAGTCATAGGATCTGTTTATCTAGCGTGTGCCCCAAATTGTTTGCAGTGAGCCCGGTATATGCCCCGAAGTTTCTTCAGTGCACCGCAATTAGTCCATGTAACCAAAACTTCATATACACACCACGTCCTCTCAACTCAGTGACGTCCTGATACTAAAGGCGAGTGAGATTTAAATGACATGTCTAAGAATGAGGAGAAATTCATTTAAAAATTCCGTGTCACCGGCTGAAGAGAGACTGAAATGTAATTATATTTAGGCAACCTTTTGTTACCTTGGAATTGGAGGAGACTTCTGGAGAGTTAGGGTCCCAAATCGGAATCCCCCATCCAACTTAATCGTAAACTTCATATTTTGTCTCTATTTTCACCTGACTTCAAACAAGCTGGTTCTTCACGGCAGAAGAGCAAGTTGTGAAACAGAAGTATATCTTCCCGATAGAAAGATACCTACTACTTTTTCTGTCTCAGCTGAACTAAGGGATAACAGTGATCACTTGGTACATTTGATAGGAATGTTCTCTTACTTCAGGTTGTGCACCTGAACACATGTTGAACTGTCTGTTAATACATTTGCACCGAGTGTTATTCAATAATAGCTTCATAAATGTGCTCATGAAAATGTCTGTACTCTCTCACGGATTGATATCGCAGTAGATATTTGACTTGGATTGCACAAATGCCATAGTCAGGAATGAAAGCTTTTTAAACTCCGAGTAACAGCGTGAAAGTATTTAGGATTTAAGTCTTAAATCTTAAGCCTTAAGTGTTGACATAAAACTGGTATATATTGATACCCCATTTAACTGCATAGGTTGAATTGGACGAGTCCGTTGACCAACTAATTTACCTAACATATCTCAGTTGTTGCTAATCATTTTCCGACAAAATCTTATCACTGATATAAATGACTCACGTAATCTTTTTTCACCTAAGTGTCTTATCTCAAACCGTGAATTTAACTTCGGTACAATTCACATTATGGTCCGGATAGATATATGATAGTCTGTAGAGTCTGTAGAGGCAATTTTTGTATAGACTATTCAAAAACAGGAGAGAAGGTTTTCAGTAATGATGCTTTTACTTGTGCTATTTTCCATAATTTAAACTTTTTGAAGGTTGAACAGGTACCGGAGACATCTGGTACTGAAAATCTTCATCCATGTTCCAGAACTAGTGGGATGATAAAAATACTTATCCTAGGCATAATTTATATGATTAATCTGTTTATCAGTTTGCATGTATTGTAACCTTAAATTCCACTTTCATGAATCAGAAATAAAATGTTTAGTCATAAACACTCCACTTTTGAAAGTATTTTTAATCTGCCTATGTCTGTCTGCGATTTTAAAAGTACTCTAATCTGTTTCTATTAACTTTCAGTTTGTTCTTCATGACATAAAACTCAGGTGTGTGTGTGAAACATGCAGTTCTATGTAACATTTGTGGCTGTGTTAATCATCCACAATGCATTGGTAAGATTTTATATTTTTCAGACTAATGTTTTTGTCTTCAAACTCTAGGGAGCTTATGAAGACACTCGGTGTAAATGTGTCTGTTTGCTTCCAGCCTCTGTCACTAATGAAACCAAGTCTACGAAGAAAATATTTGTAAAAGCGATTTCTTCAGAAAAATGGTAATATACTTCATATTTTATAATAAAATGTTCTTATTTGTCTATAGCACTTGTGAATATATGTTACAAAATGACAAACGTTTTTGTCCTTTTTGTGAGTGCAAATTCCAAGTTCGAAATACTACGACAATCAAGGTAAGTCCTAATCTCAGTGTATTTGGTTTGACGTATCTCTTAATGTCTGCTATTTAGCTCACATAACAATCTATGAAGCATGAATTTATCAAGACATGGATGAAATCCATATACGAGTTGTGATACCTAAACGTTCTTAGGTCGTTTGTCTTATAAAATGAACAGCAGCTCTCCGGTTAAATAACCGGTTATTGAGTAATTCAAGAGTATTTATCAAAGTGGTTTCTTCACTGTTAGGACAGTTTATCAAACATCTTAGCGTTACCAGAACCAAATTCCATTTAGTTGTTATTGCTGTGATTTGGAAGGTTGTTGCATATGTAGCAGAATTTGTAACTTACTAAGCAAGAGAATAATAAGAGTATTCATTTAACCTAATTTTTATTTGTCAGAAGACAAGAGTCTAAGCACCCATAGATATATGACAAGCAAGTTACTTTTAGCTTACCATGTCCTATTAATTGAGTGCCGAAGTTATTTGTTAACAGGTGTACGAAGTCGGGTATAAAAGAAGTTGTTACCAAGCGTGGGGAATAATTTAACTGACTGACTGACTGATTGAGTTTCAGCATAGAATTTCGCACAGAAGTACGGCAGTTCAAGTTGCTACATTTTGTGCAGCATACAAAGGTAGAGTAAATGGAGAAAAAAGAAATTCAAAAGAATTATAATGAGCATAAGTGTGAAGGAAAAAGAAGAATGGCATAAAAACACGAGAAATTAATGGATCTGGGAGATTACATAGGGTGATTGCAGATGCACCATTGAGAACGATTTTGAGCCATATCACTAAAACCCTCAAGCGTTGGTTCTCAGAATCCTAAAGGCTTCAACCAAGAAATTTTTACCTCCCTATATGATTGGCTGAAACCAACTGTCAAAGATATCATGGATCGATGCCAGGTTTTGGTTTAACCACCACTAACTCCTCCCACCTAATTGACGACAAAGGTGGTAGCTTTTGCATAGGCAGCACGTAACCGATGCATCTCAATCGATGTAGTTTAACAACCACATCGATTGGCTTCCCTTCCTTACCTAATACTTTCCCCCTAACATCAGTATTACTTACTATATAATACTACTTAAGACGAGAGATAAAACACAGGCACATATGATCAGAGACAGCTAGCTTTTCCATATCTGCCAAATGCAGTGGCCATGTCTCGTTGGCATAGAGGCGGACGGGGCAAACTGCTAGGCGGTGCATACCTTTTTCGATTGATAGGTGGATACCACGTCCAAGCCAGAGATGAAGTGAGTTTGCAAATGCCATACCGGCCTTTTTGTATCCTTAGTGACAATTCTTTAGCAGTTATACCATTAAGGCTGATACAACTTCCTAAATAAATGAAGTGGTCATCACACTCTGCCACTTCACTCGCTATCTTTAAGCTAGGAGTCAGTTGAGTCTAGTCCTGCAGCGTCATCATACATTTGACAGAAGCAAATTGCATGCAAAGCATTCGAAAACTTTTACCGAAGCTGTCCAAGATAATTTAACGATGTTTGCTGGAAAAGTATAAGTCAGTTATGCATGTATAGTCGAGCGATAAAATAGAAGAGTACTTGTTACGGTGTAGTGATAAATAATTCCCCTCGGATTATTAGCCTACAGCTGCCATCATTCAACATTAGGTGCTGACCTCCACTTTTTCAGTTGACCTAGTTAGGTCGAAGGTAGGCGGTGCAGCACCCTGGTCATTTAGGCTTGAGGATCATATACGCATTGGTGGTTCAGTGGCAGAGTATTGGTCAACCACTCCACATATGGTCCGGGATTCGATTCTCAGTCGATGCACTCCTATGCCTCATTTATCCTATAGATCCTATAGTAAGATAAAGAGGGAATCTTAGGTGTGAGGCTAGCAACTCCACCCCTTAAGAAAGAATACCATTGTTGGAATTGTTTGATTATTACCAATAACAAAACTTATCATTGTGTGTAAACTATTGAAATATAATTATACTTTATTTGAAAGAATACCACCCCTACTGAAACTCTATAGCCCAAGCTTGAAGCCTTATGTTGCACTTAGAACGCATAGGAATAGAACAAAAACTGTATATGTGTACCCATGCTCACTGGCATCCTTCATCTTCGAAAATATTGAAAGCCTCTTAGGAAAAAAAACAGTTCAGTGGAAGCACTTCTACTAGCACTACGTCTTGTGTTAGTTTAATCATCAATTTAACTGTTGGTGAGCATAATTTTTAACTCTTTGTCGTGAATGGGTTGTTCAGAAGGACTAATCACTTGAGATTATGACTGTTGGTAGTGAAGTACTAAAATTTCAAGTGGGTATCAGTTCATCTAAGTAAATATTAGGATATGTACATTCCCTAGTTGGGAATTTTCAAGATAATAAGAACTAATGGCTGAGGGCTGTTGGGGAAGTGGTACAAAGTTGTTCTCAGTGTCGCAGATGCATTCACTCTTCATAATCTCCTAAACCCATTAATTCTTCATGATTTTTTTCCATGTTACTATTCTTTCTCCTCTGTCTTTCTTACTCATTGTAGTTATTTTGAGTGTCTTACTCCACATTTGTGTGCTACATGTAGTGTGACACCTTGAAATACTGTAGTTCTGTGGAACGTTCCACGTTAAAGCTCAGTCACCAAGTACTGTACTAGAAAACAATAGGAGTGATGATGTTTGTGGTGTTTTTAATGGTCATTTTACTCCACTCATCTTATTGAAAACAACCGTATCTGTTCTGTTTTTATACCCACATATACTTCACATAGTTTATTTTTGACCATCGTTCAGTTTATTCACATTTACTCAGAGATGAATAGAAAATCAATTTATGCTCAATGAGTTTTCGCATATTTATGCATCTTGTCTAACTGGATAATAAATTTTTAGACGAAGGAATTTGTTATATAAAACGAACAACAACGAAGCGTTTTCATTGTGCTATTGGTTCTCTTGACATGGATTGTACTTTATAACTGTGAGACACGACCATTGACTGACTTCAACATAGAACTTTGCACAGAAGTGCAGCAATTCGAGTTACCACACTCCATTTAGCACACAAAGCAAGAGAAGAGAGTAGCGGAGATTCAAAAGAAAGATAATAGACAGAAGGGTGGGGGAAAAAGAGTAGTAATATGGAAGAACAATAGAGTTTTTTTGGATATGACAAGTCACAAAGAATGAATGCATCTGCGCTTTTGAGAAGAATTTGGAACCATATCACCAATAGTTTCCAGCTATTGGTTCTTACCATCCCGAAGACTCCAACCATTTAGTCTATACCTCCTTTTTTTCCTTCACGTTCCCCAGTGGAACAAAGGGCTTCAAGCTAGAGGCTTGAAGTTTCTGTAGCAGTGTTTATTTTTACAGGATGGGGTTGCTAGCCTCATGTCCAACCTTTCGTCTTCACCAGCTTTAGTTCTGGTTTAGCGAGGTAAAGGAGTGCGCCGGCCGGGGATCGAACCCCGGACCATATGCATGGTCGGCGAGCGTCCTTACCGCTATGCCACTGACGCAGCTATACCTCCTTACGTGGGTCAAACTAATTATCAAAGATTTCATCGAGTGATGTCGGATTTCAATTTAACCATCACTAGCTAACTCTTTTCCAACTTGATCCTATGTCAGCTAACATTACCCATTGTCGAGGGAGGTGATGGCCAGGCGTGCATGCGTAACACATGTCCTAAACATCTCAATCAGTGTAACTTCACAGCTTCGTTGATTGATTTCCCCTCTTTACCTCACAACTCGCCCCCTGCCTGAGCTCAATATTGCTCACCCGATTATACCACTTAACACGAGAGATAGAACGCAAGCACCTATGATCAAAGACAACTGGCCAGCCAGCCTCTTCATGTCTTTCACTCTCAGTGGCCATGTCTCGCTCATAGCCACAAAGGAGAACAAGGCGAATTGGTGAGCAGTGCACACATTCTTTGGTCGACCACCAGCCGGATATCACGTCTACTAAGCCAGAGATGGCGTAAGTTGGCGTATGCCAATCGAGTTTCCTGTATCCATGCTGACATGAGCTTCGAAGGTGAAGGAAATGAAAAGGCTAGCTTTCTTTGACCGTAGGTGTCCGTGATCTGCATTTCGTGTTAGGTGAGTAGTACTGAGGTTAGGCAGAGAGAGAGAGAGCTAGGTAAAGAAGGAAAATCCATTTGTGAAGTTGTGAAGCTAAAACGTTTGAGATGTATGTGTTACGCACATGTTACGCATATTTTGAATCACTGCTTTCTTCGTTAAGCGACGTCAACTGACATAGGATCAGGGTGGAAAAAGAGTTGGGAATAGTCAGACTAAAACCTGACAACAGTCCATGAAGTGTAGAGTGCCTATATTTGGGGCGCTAGGGATTCTAAGATGCAATGATTGTCAACTGTGTTGATGTTGAAATTGTTCTCAGTGATGCAGATGCTTTCTTTCTGTGTAATCTGTCAACTCCACTGAACTCTCATGTTCTTCCATGTAATTATACTTTTCGCCCTACATTCCTTTGAAATTTTTGCCTTTTTATTGGTGTATGAAGTTTGGCTATTTGAAGTGCTGCACACTTGTGTGTAAAGTTCTACATTGAAAGTCAGTTAATCAATCAGTCAACAACTAGTTGAGATTGCTGATATCGTATGTCACAAGTAGTCAGTTGAAGTCATTCATTAGCCGATATTTATTCATGAATCTTTGTGTCGGAGAAGATTAATAAAGACGATTATTGTGTGTCAGTTTAGTGTTTCCATATATAGATTCATTCCGCTTCGAGGACTTTTCAGCACTACAGTCTTTTGATGATCACAGTAATTGTCTTAATGAATTTGGTCATTATGTGAACTACCGGGAATTTTGTTCGGTCAATATCAATCGTAATAAGTTTTGATATTCGATCAGTATGCACTCAGGATTCATTGGTGGTAGTGCAAGTCTAACCAGTTTTAGTTAATTTCAAGTGCTTATTTATATTTGATTGATTCACTTTTACTGGTAGAGGTAATCACTACAAGTCGGATAATCGATAGCCTAACACGAAGTGCTGTCATTTATACCCAAAATCGATTACATTATTGACTGAAATTATTTTGGGTTTATTGTGAATTGATTTTGCTAGACTGGAATGCTTGTCCCCTTGGCATTTTGGCTCCTAGTAACTTGTACTTCAACAATATCTGGAGATTTACTTGGTGTTAATTGGGTGATAGTGAGTAGCAGTGAAATTCAGTACGGGTGTTTTATCCTGCTGTCGACCTCAGATACACGTTTCGCTATTTCTTCCTTAAATAGGGACTCAGTGTCTTTATCTAGTTGGAGACGTAACTTTTTCGCTGCCAGTAACTTCTAATGTCTGTTTAGTCGTAAGCTTAAACGTGCGCGAACCAGAGCGTGATTGGTGTCTACGCACGTGTTCCCAAAGGACCGGCAGTCTTCTACTGACCCTCGCCAACGATACCCTATGGCTATGTGGTCTATCTGAGTCCAGCGTTGATTTGGTGATGGAGGTCTTCAGGTTACACAATGTCTTTCTTTGTGCCTAAAGTTAGAGCTGACTAGGAACAGATGATTATCTGAGCAAAACTGTACAAGACGATCACTGTTGTCGGTTCGCCGACAGGGAACTCCATACGTACCACCTACATGCTTCTCAGTCTGGCCCAACTTCCCTACTTGGGCATTGAAGTCACCTGCTAGAACAATTACATCTGAACGTTTTGGCTTTTGCAGCAAATTAGATAGTTTCAGGTAGAAATCATCCCTTAGTTCATCCGAACTGCAATCTGTTGGGGCGTAAGCGGAGACTACGAAAAGACTGATGGGTAACGCCGTCCTTCCTTCTTCTAACGAACCCATTCAGACGGACCGCACACATACGAATATTTACTGGGATCCAGTCAAGAAGTGATTTTTCTGCCCTAACACTCAATGTTATCTGTACCTACACCTGCGAGTCCTCGCGAGCTAGCTGAGGGGTTTCCTGATCCCCTTAAAGTGAATTTTGCAGATTCACCGTGTTGGTTGGGTGAGGTTAATTGAATGACCACACTCGGGTCTTGTATGCGTGTCTCCGAAACACAACATACATCCATAGCTAGAAATGCCAGAGTACTGGCTAGTGATACCTGTTGTCCGAGTTGGCAGAGGGTCCTGACGTCGAATGCTCCTGTATGAAGTTGTCGACGTGGCTTTAAGAGGCTGTCGGGGATGTTTCTATGGCTCTGATCGTTGTTTGTGGTCACAGAGTGAAGTGAAGATGACTCACCAGCCTGAAGAAAAATACTAACTTTAGTAGGGGAGTAAGATGATGAAGGTGATGTGGGTAAAGGAGAATGATGTTGATCGGGGAGGCTTCGTGTGCGTTTGGAAGTGTATGGGTGGTTGTTACTTCCCGGCTGGCCACACCGTGTAAGTTGATTGATTCTTCGGGTACCTGGAACAGAGAGAGGATTAGTGTTGCGTGACTGCAGAGCCCAGGGGACAACTGCTTGATGCTGGCCGGTTACACACGGCGTGTATGAACTGGTTTGTTGGTTTGGTTTGGTATTAGTAAACCTACTGCTTGTTACGGAGCACCGTAGGTTGGGTAAGTCGTGATGTACAATTGTTGGGGCCGACCTTTTCTAACCCCCTCTCTCCAGCAGAGTGGACAGACAGCATAGGTGGCTGGCATGCTGGTCATCTGAGGGAAACACCTCACTTCTGTTACATCCCTGTTCCCCGTTGGCAGTACAACTTCGCCCACAGAACCTCAGCATAGTGTAAAAAAGAAAAATTCCTACACTATGCCGGCAACTGCTTTTAGTGTAGTCGTTATCCTAACAACCTTTCTGGCATGGTAGGACGTGCAGGAACAATAGTTCCAGCCAGTGTAGCTTGTTAGGTCATTGCGATGTACAATCCCGACCACCACATCAAGGTAGCAGCTATCGGTCGGGAATGATTAATGATTAAAAGCCAAAATGTTTGCATTAATGTTATGACATTGTCTAAAAATGACTACTTCTCTTGGTGTAAAAGAGTAAAGCGGTAAATTCAAATGTATGAAATATGAATTTTTGAAGCTTTCCAATGTCCTCCTTTTTTTGTTGAAAAATTCTTACCTTAATTTCTTCAAGCTCAAGGCGAAAGTATGTCATCTAAGAGTGCAATCGTACTAACAGAGATAAACTGCTATGAACGCATAATGTAATTATCAAGAATCCTGTTATTTGTAAAATTTCCAAGGTTGTTCAGGTGTACACCTAAATTTTCACCATCAACGAGAAAACTACTACTTTCCAATAATTCTCTAACTGATGTCTAGCTCGTGACCAAACAAAAAAATCCCCGCAAACCAACACATAGTGATTAATCTGATGCTCACTAGTGACTGGCTGTATAGAAGTTACCCGGAGTCCTAGTGAGAGAAGTCATAAACAGCGGGGTGTCCACCAAGTCAGGTAAGAAAACAGTTACTTGCTCATGACATTAGCTGGCGGTTTCTCTCCTATGTACATGTCATGAATGCGTAGAAGTTGGAATTCATGGGCCACTGAATCGTGTCCCAGTGCTCGAATAGTTTACGAATTCGCTTTGTAGCCTGAAGGTCCTGGATCCGAATCCCGGGGTTGGGCATGGGTACGTGTTCCCGAAGAGTCCCGAACTGAGACAAAATGACTCTACTGTCCAGTACTCCCTGGTTTTCCTGTGATTCTCTAAATGAATGTCATCTCTTGATCAAACTTCTAGCCAATCAAATCCTTACGAATCAACACTTGATACTACTTTATCATTAGTAGTAGTATAGCAGTTGTATGTATCAGTCAACACGATAACTCCTTCTTTTATCCACTTCAACAGTTTTTTCTCTTGTTTCTTTTTCCTTTTCCTTTGTTTCTAGGTTGTAGTTTGTTTCATTTTGACAATTATTTCAGCATTGATTCTATACATGCTATTTCTACTGCTTCTTGAACCACTCTTATCGACAAGACGTTTAGGGCATAAAACAATGGTTAATATTGGAATGTGTTCAGAATCGCATCAGACTGTAAACTCTACTGTAGAACAAGATAATATTGGTAAGGCGGCTGGTGATATAAGATCACCAAATTCATGGAGTACAATGAATATGCCTGTAACTACTGGTAGTAGTAGTAGTAATAGTGGAGTTGGCGATAATTCATCATTTTCATCAAAAGCATTCGATAAGGCGGTGATTTGGAATAAGTCTCAGCTGAATTCTGAACAACTGATCAATTCAAATTTGAGAATAATTAGTGAGTTTCAAATTTTTCTTTCTTTTTTTTCTTTTTGAGTATGAATTTAACTAGTTTCTCGTTTAACAGTTTCGTTTTATTCGTGTCTGTGATATTTACTGTGTGAAATGAGCCAAGCACTCTCATATTGTGAGCGTTTCTGCGCAACGAAGTGCCAGGTGGTGATCTTCAACAGAAAACTGAGCAAAGCCTTTGAACTCTAGAAAGGAATAGGACAAGGCTGCCTACTATCACCGGTAATATTTCTGATTATAGTGGACTTGGATCATACAGCAGACTGTGGGGAGCAAGAATACAGGACCGACAGGAAAAGCACTGAAAGATGCTGGACTTCTCGGACGATTTATATTTGATGTCCCATAAACTTGAAGATCTACAGGTGAAAAAACCAGCATATAGGCGGAAGAAGCAGTGACCACAGGACTTCAAGTGGGCATAGAGAAGACAGAGGTAATGAAGATATCACGCGCCAATCCCTGTCAGTGACAGGAATCTAATGGAAGTCATACATATATGTTGCTTAAGCGCCTTGACTAGCATTGTTTCAACTACATGCGGGCGGCACAGATGAGAATGTCAAACTCAGCCAGGATCAGGAGCTGACTTGAACTGGCCTTTATTATTCTGAAATGAGTGTAGAAATCTGTTTCACCCAGTATAAGTAACAAGATTCATATTTTCAGCCCTAGTTTCAAATCACCAAAAATATTTTTAATAGGCTGCAGACATTCATCATCATCATCAGCAGCTGCCTTGACTGGTTGGATACTGAGGATCAGATTGCCGGTTGGCGGAAAAGGACTAGTAACAAGGAGAACTCTGCCAGGCAGCGAACCAGTCGAGATGTGAAGCAAACGGAGATAGATGATTAGATACACTCTGAAAAGACCGTTAAATGGTATTACGCGTCAGCCAGGTCAGTCCTTCGAATGGGAAGCGACGAGTTGGGCGTGGGTCCCAGGGTGGCAATGAGGAGATCGTGCCAGGAGTGTGTGTGTGTGTATGGAGGGCAATTGAAAAAGAATGTAGATTTGGTGCTGTGGAGCCCTACATTTCACTAGGAACCCAAGGAAATAATAATAATAACAATAAGTGATTGGGCTGAGGTACGCGTTGCGAAATATGAACCCAAGACGCGATCCCATTGGCTAAAAGTTGATTACTCAAGCCACTGAACCCCATATCTCCACTGTGTGTGTGTGTATGTGTTTGTTCACTATTGTCTTTACTTAAAAAGGCATAAACTTTGTGCGTATCATTAAACACTAGAGATTACAGAAAATAATGTTAAACGAGAAATTACAGACCATAGTTAAAGAAAGCCAATGTGGTTCGTAAGTTGAAAACATTTGTCTCTTTGATAATAATAAGAAGGTTGTAACAACGGTATACGTCATTTAAGAACAGTCGCAGACACACACACACACACACACTCGCACACGCACACATGCATAACATTGGAATACAGAAGAAATAAGTTGAACATATCAATTAGTTATAAATAAAAGTCTGAAGGAGAGGTAAAAGGATCGTTAATCCAGTTGTCCATGGGATTGGCTGTCTATGGGATTGAATGTATCCAGTTATACAACATAAACAGTCTTTTAAGAGATCAGTATGTTTAACCTATGATAAACCTATAAACACCTAATACATAATTATCAGGATAATTAATTATAGGTTGAAAATGTTTGATTGTAACAATTTCGATGGGAGAAAAAAATAGAGGGCCGAGGAGATTTATTATCAATAGCTGTCTTTTTAATGCTATATATGTAGAGAAAAGTGGCCTTTGACTTTTACTAGTTGAGGAGGGACTTAACTCACTCTACTAAGCATTAATCTATATTGTTGATTAGGTTGTGACTGTTTTCTGAATTGTTTCTTCCAATTATCAAGAAAGTAACAGTCATGTAACGTGTCCAAATTTTTAGTAGAATTATGGTTTCAAGTCTTTGTATAACAGCTTTAGCAATCAGTCCTGATATGGGCGACCTCATATAGGTGTCCTTCTTGCCTATTTAATCCAATTTTTGATTTTCCCGTTGATTGATTGGATCGAAGTGCTCGGTTTCAGGTTAACATGTCGGCTTCTTGTGCAGATGCTTCGACGATGTCTGGGTATGTAATTATAAGTTAATTGGTGGATGGTGACTAGTAGTGGAATCCAGGATGCGCATTTCGTCCTATTTGGGGCTCGTCATCTGGATGTAACTGCATTCCGCAGTGAGTGATGATGTTCCCACCGAGGCTCGAACCCAGTGCCCATAGTGGCCCAAGTGGTCTAGCGGATAACGCTTTGGCGTTTGGGACTATGGACACTGGGTTCGAGCCTCGGTGGGAACATCATCACTCACTGCGGAATGCAGTTACATCCAGATGACGAGCCCCAAATAGGACGAAATGCGCATCCTGGATTCCACTACTAGTCACCATCCACCAATTAACTTATAATTACATACCCAGACATCGTCGAAGCATCTGCACAAGAAGCCGACATGTTAACCTGAGACCGAGCACTTCGGTCCAATCAATCAACAGGAAAATCAAAAATTGGATTAAATAGGCAAGAAGGACACCTATATGAGGTCGCCCATATCAGGACTGATTGCTAAAGCTGTTATACATAGACTTGAAACCATAATTCTACTAAAAATTTGGACACGTTACATGACTGTTACTTTCTTGATAATTAGAAGAAACAATTCAGAAAACAGTCACAAACTAATCAACAATATCGAATTTTCAAGAGGAGAGGAATTTGACGTCTCTTCGATAAGTGAACAAAAACAGAAGAATTAGAAACTTAAGTGTACAGGAAATCAACTCACACAAATCAAGTAATCAATTACAACAGCAACAATCCAACAGTACACAAAAGTTGTATACAAATATTATTCAGAAGGGTCAGGACTCACTGTAGCACTCCTACTTTGAGAAGAATAGAATAGAAATATCTTATGACTTTCTTCCAGAAAAATTGATATGCGCTAAATTTTAATCAAAAAAAAATGCCTACTCAAAAGTATTCTAATAAAGCACACAAAACTCGTCCTACTATATACAGAGAGCGTCTCTGAAATCACTCCAAAACTATTGAAACTTTTTGGAGTACCTGTTACCCACAAACCGAGACAATCACTCCAATCTTTACTATGTCAACCAAAAGTTGCATTAGAGAAAAAAAAAGACAAAACCAACGTCAACCACAAGATAAATTGCAAAGACTAAAAAAGTCTTCGTGTTTTCCTCGTCTTTGCATCCACAAATATAAACTGCTGTCAAAAATCATAAAATCCATTCCGTCATATCAATGCACACGGACAACTACGGACACCATTTCGACTGTGAAAATGTACAAATCTCACAGTAAAAAGAAAGCCCCGAAACTGTCAGAAAATTCCTACGTATCTACAGACACACTCACATAGATAAGATTTACCAATCATTGAAAGGGAAGTCACATAGACAAAAGGCCAACAAAATAATCAATACCAATACAAGAGTATGAGACTTTGAATGATTTCCCAAATGAAGCTGAGTTTCTAAGATGTTCTATTATCAAACTGAAGACGCAACTTCCGTTCTCCCTTTACTAGCCAAACTGGATAATGTTAGTCATTAGCTCATCTTACAAGTGGACAACCAAATTTATTCGATTCCACAGCAGCAAGTGAACTGGTATATATGCATGTTGATGTAGTCTTTCACATACCGACGAAACAGTCTATTACAAGGAAGTGTTCTCAAAGGCTCGCTATTTTACTGAAAGATTTTGAAAGTCATTTGGAGAACTTCTGCTACACTTTTAAATTTGAGAATCAACAACAGAATATTTTGAGGAGAGAGAGGGCCACCTGGATTCTTCAGTTTTGGGTTCTTGTCTATGTGCGAAACCATTTTCCGGCTGGATTATTCCGAAATTGTGCAACGGATTCTTGAGGGAATAAGGACTATTGGAATTCATATAGTTTCCTGTCCGTTGGAGTCTTCTGTGAAGAATCATTCCCTAGTAGGCGATCATTGCTCAATCTTTCACTTACCTCCAAAAGTATACGACTGTTTTTTTTTATCATCACTATACACATATATTGGCGTATTGTCGCCTTCAGAATTCACGACGGAGTTATTTATTTCATACTGCTAAGCAGTAGGGTTTGATGACATAGCTTTGTAACATTTCAAGTTGTGTGAAAGATAATGCGACGACAAAGATATGGAAATGGATATGATCAAGGCAGAACAGATGATGAGATTTGATATGATAGCAGCACGCAAGATCGACTGTGAGAGCTGTATCTCATAGCGCCTCAAACTATAGACCTGAAAAAATCTGGTCAAATGTAGCCATTTATCGAATAATCCACCGTTTGTTCATTTCTGAAATACCCACTCCTGAAGGCGAACGACCAATTTCCACTTATTTTAAAGTGAAGGCAGAATTCTAATGTATCTCTCGACGGGTAGAAATATCTCATTCTAAAAGGATTGTGGAGAAAATCACTCTGGGATTTAGATAGTTTTGTCAAAATTTATAGATAGTTATCGATTGAAATGACAATAGTCCCTAGTGTCTGTCAGCTAAGTGCCATGTCTGTCTTCTTTGATTTTATTGCTAACATACTAGTGAATGTGACTCAATTCCACTTGTTATCAGGTAAAGGTCGTATTGATTACCGGCGTTAGTTGGAGTAACATTTTATTTATTTTATTCCTTGGCGTTTTGAATGGAATATAGGGCTTCAAGATGATGCTTTGACGTTTTATTATCAGCGATGTTTATTTTTTTTATGGGGTGGGATTGCCAGCCTCATGCCCAACCTCCTCTGATTACCGTGCTTACTACCGGCTAAGCGAGGTTAAGTAGTGCATCGGCTAGGGTAGTTGACGAACACACGACGTTGTAACACATCAATTCTTTTCTGATCACCTAAAGTGGAGCAATATGAAAAATAGTAATGTTATGATCAGGAAAGTAATTCTGTCAATCCACTTAACAATGATTATTCAAATTTTCAAATATTGGATTTGTAGGGATTTTGTTTGATTGCATGGAGGACTTCATCATGAGCTTGACGTCAGTTAGAGAACCACTGGAAGACCTGGGAGTACTAGAAAACTGTTTCGTCCTAGTTTGGGACTCTTCAGCAGTACGCACCCATCGGGGTTCAAACCCAGGACCTTCTGGTTTTCTAGTGGTCCTCTAACTGATGTCAGCTCATAATGAAGCCCTCCATGAGATTATTCAAATCTTTTATATGACAGATTATCTATCGTGCTACTCTTGTTGCACCAACCTCGACAGATGTAATTCAGTCGGAGTCCACAAGGTCAGTCGTGTGCCTAATCTAATCATCTGAATCTTGATTCCTTTATCACCACTAAAAAAGCAATTTGTTGCTCTTTTCTTTCTTTCTTTTTCATTTCAGCAGCTCCATCGAGTCGTGGACGTGTACGTCATCGTACTGCCGGTTCATTACATGATCAACACGTTGACGATTCAAATTCACTGCATCTTACTCCAATTCCAAGTACATCTGTTGGTATGTCAAATGTCGTGAATCGTGTTCGTGATCAACAACAACGTTGGAAAGGAAATGTTGAAGCGCAACGTGCTCGTGTATTCAGTGAACGCAGTTTATTGAATTAATTCATCTGAATTATTTCGGTTGATTCATACATATACATATATCTATATTTTATTATGTGCATTTCTTTCCATTATTAAAATGATTTTCTAATCTACCTACCTACCTACCTATCTACCTACCCATCTCTCTTTCGATCTATCTACCATGTGATAATTTTTGTTTAAGCCATAGACGACAGAAAATTTTACGGTTAACAGTGCTGTTTTGTATTTGATGAGTTAACAACTTTGAAGCTGTTGATTTTGTCTTTTTATTTTCATGTACGTCTGTGTTCATCATCTTCCGTCTCCCCTGTAATCAAAGGTGAGTGAGGAGAAACAAAAAAAAAGAATCATTTCCTTTCATCTTATCATCAAATTTCTCTTTTTTTTTTAAATTTATCATACACACTACTTATATATAAACTTCAGTCATATATTGAAATTGCTTTATTCTCTTAATCTTACACAGCGTAATGTACAACGTTTATTTCAGGTTTCTAAGGTGGATAAACTTCATTCGATTTGGTTATTTTTTTAATTTTTTCAATTTGTTCAACTTTCACTTGCCTAAAAAGGTAAGACTGAGGATAAGTAGTGAAGTGAGTGGTTGAGCCGTAGTGAATGACCACCACCAACTTTACTTATCTGGGGAGTTATTATTATTATTATTAGTGTTGTTCCCTTCGGTTCCCAGCGGAACATGGGGCCGCCACAGCACGTTTCCACTTTGTTCTATTCTCTGCTGTCCTCTTTAGCTGATTCCACGATTGACCATAATCTTTCACCACCCCTTCCTCCTCCCCAAACGATCTCCTCCATGTCACCCTTGGACCAACGACCTACTCGTCTCTTTCCATTCGGCTTCCACTCGAGCAATGGCCTGGCGCTCGATGTCATTCGATGGTGTCTTCAGTGTGTGCCTACCCAGTTCAAGTCCATTTTCTTCTGCATAATTGTTGAGCTGTGTAGGCTCTCGGTTGTTTTTATCCCCATAGTTTCTTGTCGCTGGTTATATATCTGGCCGGCTATTTGATCTTCAATATAGAGCCAGCGAAGGTGGCAACTGTTGATAAAATTCTACAGTAGCCTCTGTTGGAAATGATTTTCGTGATGTGCTGGGCAAATTTCTGATCCATGTAGAAGAAGAGACTGACTGACCTACTTGACATTAGTGGTAAAAAATCCGAATCTTGTTCGTCTTTATGCTTCAGAGTGATAAGAGATTTCCAAATCGATTTCGGATTGATGAAGGTGAACCTTGCCCATTTCCGATTCTGGCCTGCTTTAACTTCTTTATCCGTGCTGATTACCTGTACTTGAAACAGTGATTCGCCCACTAGATAAGCGAAGGAAGTAATCTCTTTCACAATTTCTCCCATCGATAGTGATTGATTAGTTGGGAAGTTACATCAACCCTAATAAGGATTGACTGATTGCTGATGAAATTTCAGTATGAACCAGGAAGCCAGTCTACACCTTCCTACGTGGCTGACTTAAACTAACTGTTGTGGATTTCATCGACTGGTGCCATGTTTTGGTTTGACCGCCGCTAGCTCTTTTCCAGCCTGGCCCTATATCAGCTAACATAGCCCGTTGTTGAGGAAGGCGATGACTAGGCATACGTAGCACATGTTCCAACCATCTCAGCCGATGTAATTTCACAGCCTCGTCGATTGATTTCCCCTCCTTACGTAGCACTCGATGCCTAACCTCAATATTCCTCACCTTATTATACCACTTCACACGGGAGATAGAACGCAGACACCTGTGATCAAAGACAGTTAATCTTTTCATGTCTTCCACTCAATGGCCAGGTCTCACAGCTGGCCATAAAGGAGGACGGAGCCGACTGGAGAGCAGTACACCCGCCCTTTGGTAGATAGCCAGTCGGATATCACGTCTACTAAGCCAGAGACGGCGTAAACTGGCATATGCGAAACTAGCCCTCTGTGTCCGTGCTGAGATTTCGTCAGAGATTAACCCATTGGGGCTTCCCAAATAATTGAAGCGGTCAACGTGCTCTACCATTTCACTCCCTATTTCTAAACTAGGAGTCAGTGTAGTCCAGTCCTGCAGCATCATCTTACATTTTACAGGGGCGAATCGCATTCCAAACATACGGAGATTGTTGCTTAGGGCGTTCAGAAGACTCTGCATTTTGTCAGCGTCCTCACCTAGAAGGACTATATCGTCCACATATTCTAAGTCAACGAGATTATTCCCTGGTAGCAAGTCAATCCCTGAGTCGCTGAAGTGTGTTAGGGTTAAGTCCATTAGTACGCCCATGATGAAGTTGAATAGAAATGGGGATAATGAGCATCCTTGGCGGACGCCACTAGTCGTCACCACTTCAGATGACAACTCGCCGTAAGCCCTCACCTGGCTGCCTGAGTACGAGTAGAGTGCCTTAATCAGTGCAATGTATTTTCTCAGCATTCCCTTTACAGCCAAGCATCGCTAGAGAACCTCTCGGTCGACAGAATCGAATGACGCCTTAAGGTCAAGAAATATAATGATTGTTGGACGCCGGTAGGAATGCCTATGTTCTAGAATCTGTCTCTGACGTAGACTTGGCGTCTGGTTATCGATCAGTTGTTTTTATACCTACGCATACTTCACATAGCTTATTTTTTCTAACTATCTGTTAATTTATTCATGTTTACTTCAAGATGAACAGAAAATCAGTTCGTGATCAATGAGCTTTCGCATATTTTATGCATTGTGTTTTTTAATTGGATAATGAGTCGATAATGGGTAGAGAATTTGTTACATAAAAAGAATAAAAATGAAGCCTGTTTATGCCTGTGAGACATGGTCATTGAAAGTGGAAGATATAGGAGAATGGCGTTTGTCTTTGACTACAGATGTTTGCATTCTATTTCCCCCTGGTAAGGATGGTAAGTCGATCGATGAAGTTGTGAAGCTTCATCGGTTGATATGGCTGTCTGTCTGGATTCAACATAGAACTTGCCACCGAAGTGCAGCAGTTCGAGTTGTCACGTTCCAAATAGCACGCAAAGTTAGACAAGAAGATGATAGAAGAGAATCAATAGAGTTTTGACAAGTATAAGAGTGAAACAGAATGAGTAATGGTAGAAAGGAATATGAAAGATTACAGAGACTGAATACATCTGCGTAAGCCATTGACAACGATTTTGAGCCATGTCACCTATTGTCTCCAGCCATTGATTCTTGGAGTCCCGAGGGCCCCAACCCGGAAGTCTGTATCTCCCTACTTCACTCAGTTTAACTGTCAAGGATTTCATGGATTGATGAGGCCATGTTTTTGTTTGGCCACCACTTACTCTTTTCCAACCTGCACCTATATCAGCTAGTAATGCCCGTCCGTCGAGGGAGGCGATGGTTAGGCATGCGCAGCACGTGACCTAGCCATCTCAATCTATGTAACTTTATAGCCTCTTCGATTGATTTTCCCTCTTTGCCCAACACTACGCCTAACGTCAACATTACTTACCTTATTATGCCACCTAACGTGAGAAAGAGATCGTAGACATCTATGATCAAAAACAGTCAACCTTTTCATGTCTTCAAATCGTATTGGCCATGTTTCAGAGTCATAGAGAAGGACGGAGCGAACTGGTGAGCAGTACACACATCCCTTGGTTGATAGTCGGATGTCACGCCTACGCCAGAGATGGTGTAAGTTAGCGAAAGCAGCTCGAGCTTTTTGGATCCGTGCCGAGATTTCGTCACTAATCAATCTGTTGTTGGTTGATATGGCTAGGGCATGTGCTGCTCATTCCTAGCTATCGTATTCCTTGTTGAGCAATGTCGGATGACATAGGATTAATTTGGAAAAGACTTATGAGAAGGGTGAAACCAAAACCTAGCAACAAAGAATCAATAAAAGTGTTTGACAGTTAGTATGAGCCAGTCACATAGGGAGGTGTAGACTGTGTGGTGTCCTCAGGATGTTCAGAACTAATAGCTAGAGAATGCTGATGATTTGGCATGAAACCTTTCTCAATGGTGCAGCAGATGAATCCACTCTTTGTAATCTCCCAGATCCATTATTTCCTTCATGTTTCTCCATGTAATTATTCTTTCTTCCGTGCATATCTGCTCATTTCTTTCTCTCTAACTTTGTATGGTATATGGAGTGTGTCAACTTAAAGTGTGACGCGCTTCTGTGCAAAGTTCTATGTCGAAACTCAGATAAATCGTGTAGCTTAAAGTATCACTCTGAGAGTGAAGTTGTGCTTCTCTAGCAACACTAAGCTGTTAACTCGTAAAACACCAGCAGGCCATTTTTGCCACCTTTGTAGTTACGTGAGTTTGAGTAAAAAAATTTCAGTTCATTAAGAAGAATGGTATTATTTTCATCTATTATTTATTATTATTATTATTTCCTTTAATTCATATAGGAACATAAGGCTTCAGCCGCACGTCTCCATTGCGTTTGGTTCTCTGCCTACGTTTTCATTTGGCTCCATGTATGCCCACATGCTTCCATCTCCTCTTCACATGACCTCCTCCATGTCACACTCGAACTGACGACCAACTAACACACAGCTTCCCATTAGGGTTCCACTCGAGCGATGGCCTGCTGTGTGTTGTCACTCACTTGATGGTTTGTTTTCTCAGAGTACGGCCGATCCACCTCCATTTCTTCCTGCATATTTGTTGCACAATCGGTTCCTGCTGGGTTGGTTCGCTCATTGACGGAGATCTCCCACTATTGCTGATATATTCTGGCCATCAGATCTTGAGTAGTATTGAGCGAAGACAGCTTTTGATGTAGGTCTGTAGTTTGTTTGAAGTGTTCTTCGTGACGCGGCGCGGCGCCAAGTCTCTGATCCGTATAGTAGCAGTGACTTCACATTGGACTTGAGAATCCGGATCTTATTTTCATGCTGAGCAATGTTGACCTCCACACAAACTTGCGAGTAATGGAAGCTTGCCTTGCTTTCCTGATCCTCGCTTTGTTATCCTCATCAGTTCTGTCGGCCTGTATTTGAAACGATTCTTCCCAGGTAGGTAGGTGAAGGAGGTTGCTTCTTTCAGATTCTTCCCATCTGTAATGATTGTTGTCTGTTGTTATTGCTGTTGCTGTTGGCCAAGAATCTTCATCACCTGTTTTCTCTATGTTCACCTGAAGGAAGTCCTACCTTCTCTGGATGCTTCCTCTGCCAACTTGTTGCTTTTCACTTGCTTATCTTCTAGTTTGTGGGAAATCAGACATAAATATATCATCGGCAAAGTTCAGATCTTCCAAGTACTTTGTGTGTGGGTCCATCTTATGCCTATTATTATTTATTATTTTCACTATGATCTGGAAACTAGTGAGGATTATTGATAACTTGTACCCAGAAGTTAATGTAAGCCATTTGGCTTCTGACCAACGTCAAGAGACGGATTCCGTCCGGTCTCGGACATAACTTTATCTCCCTGAACATAAATGATCTAAAACTCTTCAGCTATCTAAGTTCGTTAAGCATAAGGGCCCCGAAGAAATGGATCTCTGAAAACAGTAGAAATCCATAGACGTCTCATTAGACAACTAAAAAG